CCCAAGGACGTTCGGGCCACCTGTTCTCGACACTCCCTCCATGTCCTCCAGGAAACACTCGTCACCCATCCTGTTTCTTCATTAAGGGAGCAAGAACAGAGATGTGCGCCCTCTCTAGAAGGCCGGCGAGGGACACGCGCTTTGGCTGCACTTCAGGGGCTGTCGCCAGCCTTTCGCACAGACTTAACAGCCAGACAGCAAGTGGCTGTGACTTGGAGAAGAGATGAAGTTTAAGTCTAAAGGGGGCACCTGGGAAGGGAACACAGTCACTGGTCTCATCCCAGGGCCAGTCACCTCACGGGACATAAGTGTTCAGCCCTCCTCAGAGCTCTTCCCGCCTCCCCAGGACGCCCCACCCGCTGGCCCTCCTCCTCCCTTCCCAGAGTGTGCCCCCTGCCCTGGGCAAGCCCGTCCAGCCCGGATGCGCCTCTCAGCTGGTGGGGCGGCTGACACATCACCCGCCTGTCTCCCACTACGTGACGCTCCTGCCTGGCACCCTCCCTGTCACCTCCAGGACCCCCCTGGCCTTGATGCTCAACTACCTGGAATCTCTGGTCAGTAAACCACAGACGTGAGGAGAGAAGCTGCACGGCGAGCACTGGCTTTGGAGTCCTGGGTGTGGGTCCAGACTCCGTCAAGTACCGGCTCGGTGACCTAGACCATCTCTGAACCTGAGTGTGTTGCCTCATAAGTCAGATGAAGATGGGAACTCTGATCATAAGAGCAGCAGACACTGTCGTCCTGACAGCACACGGAGCTCTGCCCTCAGGGCCTTCCCTGCATCCTCTCATTTGCTCCTTAGAGCAGAACTGGGCGGGCAGGCCGGGTATCCTCCTTCTAGAGATGAGGAGCCTGGAGCCACAGGGGCCACGGCACTTGTCCACACTCACGTGGCTAGGAAGTGGCAGAGCCAGGATATAGCCTGAGAGTCTGACTACAGAATCCAGGGCCAGTGACCTCCCTGCCTCCCTCAGGGCTGGGGCGCCACCCACAGAAGTACTCTGCAAAGCACCTGCCGAGGGCAGCTAGGGATCTGGTCCCCAGTCCGGCTGGAATTCTCCATGAGGAAGGCGCTACAGAAGCCCAGGGCAGCATGAACACCAGAAATGGCAGGCACTGCTCACAGGGCCGTGCCAGCCAGGCCCTCCCCTCCTGCAGACTCACCCTTTGCTCTCACTCTGATTCTCTTTGACTGGCTTCTTGCCATGCTTCTCTTTGTTTCGTAAATAATCCTTCAGCTTCTCCGCGCGGTCTAGGTACTGCATGCACTTGGCTCGAATGCTCTCCTTGGCCTTGTCGCTGTGTGCCTCATCTGCAACAGGGGAATCAGAGAGGGGCTACTCGCTCCGCTCACAGGGGCTCTGCAGCGGGGAGGGTTCCGCTGTGACTCACATTTGATAGCGTGTAGGAAATACTCCACAGCATGCTGGTAGAGCCGCAGTGCCTCCTCGTAATTCTTGGCTTTATCCTCTTCTGTGGCTTTCGTCACCAGGTCAATGGCTTTCTGGAAAGGCACAGCAAATACCTCAGTGCTTCCCAAGAGACCCAAAAAACCTTGGGGTCCGAGGCAGCAGGAATCCTGGGGATCTGTGGGTCGCACACCATCATGCCGGCCTCTATTTCCAACATCAACTAGAAAGGCCTTAAAAGGAAGCTTTGAAAGACAGCCACCCCCCTTCACAATACGCTCATACAGTTAAAAGCAACCTCCTTCTCAGTTTCACTTTGGATTTCAGCAAGTGGAAATCTGATAAAATATCTCAGGTTAGGGCTCAAAGGGAGAATCCACTTTCTATTCCACGCCTCAAGGGAAAGAAAGGTGGACCCGGAGCCCACGCCTGGAACAGGGAAACACCAGAACCAACTCACTGCTGTGCTGCTCAGCACGAAGGCCAGAAACCACATTTGACCTCGAAGGCCAGAGAGGAGCCAGCCCCGAGTTTTACGAGATGGACAAAAAGGACCTCTACTTCCTTCTACTGGCCCAACTTGCTTCTCTACGGTGAAAAGAGAAGACGGTTTTCCTAAATCTGCTACTCAGGGAAGGGAGGCCTGGACACAGGGGTCAGTAGAGCACTAGCTCCGGGGAGAAAAGTGCTTGCTTACCCCAGGGGCAGAGAGGTGCTGCCAATTAAGGGGAATGGTCCTCTGGAGTCTTGTAAGAACTCTTGAAACTGTCTCTGTGAATCTCACAAACCCTGTAGGCCTGTGCTCTAGACTGGACCTAAACCACGCTGCATCTTTCAGGCAGCTGCCCCACACCTACACACCCAGTTTTAGAAACCAAGGCTTCACCAACCAGGGAGCATTACCAGAATTATCCTCCTCAAGCTGAACAGCACTAGATGCCCGGCAGGCAGATCCCACTGGATACACACAGTTCCATCCACAGCAAACAATAAACCTCCTGACCAGCTCTTGGCAGGGCCCGGGCCCTGTGCAGTCCTTCCTCATCTGGAAGTAAGGAGTTTCCGAAGGACACAGCTAGTTCTGCAAAACTAACAGGCTGCGGTAGACTGGGCCAGGTTGATGAAAACTGAACTCACCAGGTTGAAAAGATGAGGTAAGGTGAAAGGGGTGTTGGCTACTATTTTCAAGCTCAGCTACCTCCACTACCTAAAAACAGAGAATGACGAGGAGCCCAGAACCTTCTGGAATGATTAGCTCAAATTTTTTTTAAGTTTATTTGTCTATTTTGAGAGGGAGAGCAAGAGGGGTAGGGGCAGAGAGAGGGGGGAGAGAGAATCCCAAGCAGGCTCCACACTGTCAGTGTAGAGCTCGATGCGGAGCTCGAATTCACACTGTGAGATCAAGACCCGAGCCCCGAGCCGAAACCAAGAGATGGATGCTGAACTGAGCCACCGAGGCACCCCCTGGAATGATTTGTTTAAACACAAGCTTCTCGGGTCTACTCTCCCCCCACAGTGGCTCTTGAGATAAGACATGAAACAAGTTCTCCTGTCCCTCGTGGCTTCTCTTCTCCAGAACCAATATGCCCGTTTCCTTGGACTTTTTCACTCCATATGCATTCTTGTTTAGGTCTGTCCTTTTGTTTTTGTTTTTAAAAATTTTGTTTTAAACGTTTATTCATTTTTAAGAGACAGAGCATGAGCAGGGGAGGAAGAGAGAGAGAGAGAGAGAGAGAGAGACACAGAATCAGAAGCAGGCTCCAGGCTCTGAGCTGTCAGCACAGAGCCTGATGCGGGGCTCGAACTCATGCACTGCAAGACCATGACGGGAGCCAAAGTTGGACACCCAACCGACTGAGCCACCCAGGCGCCCCTGAGTCTGTCCTTTTGAAAGGCAGAGTTCAGAAAAACAATCCAGGTCCGCTCTGCCCACCCCGCACCTTCTAAATACTTTATTAATTAATGCAGCTAAGAGCACGTTAGGTCTTTTCGGCATCTGCATACAGTGTTTCATGTGCAAGAGGCCGCTGGTGCAATGTGAGAAGGAGTAGTTTTCCCCAACACAACAGTGAGGTGACAGATAAAACTGCCAGCCTGCCCCATCTCTAGTGACACAGATGGCAGAGGATGAGGAAGAAAGGCAAGGGTAAGGAAGATGTGCGAACACAGGAGCTGGCAAACTTTCTGTAAAGGAGGGGAGGGGAAATGTTAGACGTTCCTGGCCCTACAATCTCTGTCCGTGACTACCGACTCTCCCTTTGTAGCCCCAAGGCAGCCCCAGATAATACGTAAAAGAAGGAATGGGTTCCGATAAAACTTTATTTCCAGACACTGAAATGTGCGTTTCATGATTTTCACGTGTCCTATCTTTTCCAGCATTTTAAAAATATAAAAACCTACATTATGTTAAGTGAGAGAAGCCAGTCTCAAAGGACCACATATTGTGTGATTCCAGATATAGAAAATGCCCAGAATAGGCAAATCCATAGGGACAGAAAGTAGATTAGTGTTGCCTAGGGTTGGGAGAGATCTAGGGTTTGGGGGGTGACAGGAAGGGTGCGGAGTTTCTTTCTGGAGTGAAGAAGATGGTCGCACAACTCTGAATATACTAAAAGCCACTGAATGATACACTTTGAATGTGCGACTTAAGTGGTGAGTTAGATCTTAAGGGTTTTTTGTTTCTTAATGTAAAAACACTCTTAGCTCAAAGACCAAAAACGTCGGGGCAGGTGGGTCCACAGGCAAAAGTTTCCCAACCCCAGCATAACAGATCAGAGCTGGTGTTGAATGGTGGGGTCTGGCTTTGGACTCTAGCTGATTCCTGGCCTAGTATTTATTCCATGCCCGTCCCCACTTTTCCCTCCACCTTCAGGTATCTGAAAGGCTCCCCATCCTGTCCGGATCCAGCCAAACTCCCCTTCTCCCATGAAGTCTTGCCTAACTCCCTCAACATGCTCGATCTGCCATGACTTACTGAGCACTTACTATGTAGCAGACACTGGTGCCAAGAACGCTTTACCTGCATTACTCACACCGGAGCCACTGTCACCACAAAAACCCTACAGGGTATTGCCCCATTTTACTGACAGGAAACCAGAAATTCTAAGATCAGCTAACTGGCCCAAGGTCACACGCCAGTGAGCGGCAGAGCCCAGGTCGGGGCCTGAGCATGTTTCTGTTGGCCGGCTCGGCAGGACTGGCAGCACCTGGGGGGGGCGGGGAGGGGTCAGTCGTGCATCCAGGTGGCGCCACCCTAGCACCACCGGGCAAGATCTAGGGAATGAATGAAGGGTCGCCGACCGACGGGAGGAAATCGGGGCCCCGGGGAAGGAGCGGGGACTCGTCCTCAGGGAGGCGGGGAGGGAGGGCAAGTAGCCCGACTGCGGGGCCGAGCTTTCCGGGCGGCGCGGGTGCGCTCCGAGAGAGGCTGATCCCCGCGGCGGTACCTGGGCGCCGCCGGGTGCCCACAGCGGCCTCGGGGCTCGGCCCGACCCGGCCGGGAGTTGGGGTGGGTGGCGGGGGCGCGGGCATTCTGGACAGGAGGCGGCCCGTGGCTCCGAACGCGTGGAAACAGAAACGGGTGGAGGCGGCGACAGGCCGGCGGGGCGGGAGCCGCGGGGCCAGGGCTCCGAGCAGGCCGCCCGCCCGACTGCTGGCTCGCAGGCCCAGCCGCGCCTCCTCCGGCCTCCGGAAGCCGAGCCCGGCCGCGCCGAGGTACCTGGAGGGTTGACGTTGTCATTTCATCTCCTGGGTCCGCCCCACACCCCGCGGCGCTGCTTGCGGCCTCGGTCCGACCCCGGGGAGCCGAGGTGCTGGGTCTGGCGCGGGGAGCCCGGCGGGTTGGCGCTGGGCGCGGGCAGGGCGGCCGCTCGCTGCCGGAGCGGAGTCGGAGGGCGAGCGAGGAGCGCGGCCCAGAGCGGTCGGGCCCGAGCCGCGCGACTGCCCCTTGGCGGCCACAGCCGGCACTGCAGGCACCTCTCCCCGCGGCCGGAGGTCCCTGCGGGCGAGGTCCCGGGTGGGGCCGGGCAGAGGGCGTGTTAGGGGTGTGTTAGGGGCGGGGAGCCCAGCGAGGGCTGGGGTGGGGTTGGATGGAGGGCGTGGCCAGAGTGAGGGCTGGATAGAAACCTCAGGCCTAGACCCCGGTTCTGTAAAATAGCTCCTGTAGGGCAGTTTTTCTTGTACAGTAAGCCTAACTTCCCAGAACTTCGGGTTTCTGATATTTTAAGAGAATATACTGATCATTAGTATCCTGTTTGGCTATTTGGGGGGGAAATGAATGAGCTAACTAATGTAGACACAGTGTGCCCCACCCTGGGGATTCAGTTTGTTAAGTATTATTATGATCCTGGTGGCTCTGTCTAAAGCCAGTTTTTTTTTTTTAATTTTTTAAAAATTAAATTAAATTTTAATTTTTGAAAGATTTTTTTTTTTTTTAAGTAATTTCTACATCCAATGTAGGGCTTGAACTCACAACTCCAAGGTCAAGAGCTCCATGTTCCACTGACTAAGCCAGCCAGGCGCCCCTGTTTTTGTTCTTGTTTTGATCTTAAGCTTTTTCCTCTTTTTAAATGTTTATTTCTTTTTGAGAGAGAGGCAGAGAGATAGAGAACTCCAAACAGGCCTGCTCTGTCAGCGCAGAGCCCCCACGTGGGGCTTGCTTCAACTCACCAACGGTGAGACCATGACCTGAACCGAAATCAAGAGTCAGATGCTCAACTGACTGAGCCACCCAGGTGCCCCTGTTTTTGTCTGTTTTTTAAATATAATTTATTGTCAAATTGGTTTCCATACAACACTCAGTGCTCATTCCAACATGTGCCTGTTTTTGGTTTTTTAATATTAACTCTTATACTTTTCTCTTTAGGAAAGCCGTTATCGTCTTCTTTAGAAAGTGGTTTTCTTAAACTTCCAAAGCTGGCGGCTTTAGCCTGGTAAACTTCAGTCTAGTTTCTGGGGATACACCAGTGATCAAAACAGGTCGAAGGCAGCCTACAGTTTGGGATGGTGATGTTCATCAGGAAAAATGATGTAATAAGTGTGTTGAGGCCCATTGTGAGAAAGCTCCTGAGTGTCTAACAGGCAACCTACATAAAATAGAAAGGCTCCATTTAAGAAAAGGTGCCGCTAGCCCTACACGTAGAACAGATCGCAAGGATGGAGTGGCTGCAGCATGTGAAGCTATTGCTATAGTCCAGAAGAATGAGGGAAGCTTGGACTAGGAGCAGGGCCATGGAGAGGCATGTGCAGGATAGAGAGACTTTGGAAGGCAGATCATAAGCCCACAGAAATGGATTAGATTTGGGGTATGGTGAGGGGCAGGAAAGGACAGAGATGGCACCTGAGTTGCTGGCTTCAGGACCTGGGCAGATGGTGGTACCACTGAAATAGAGACTTTACTGAACAAAGACCAGGCTTGGGGGGTTGGGGAGAAGAGGAGTGAGAAAGATGACAAATTTGAGGTGCATTTGAAACATCGAGTGTCAGTTAGACGTATGCCTCTGGAAGTCGGAATACAGACGAGGTGGGAGATGTACATGTGCGGGATGTGTGGGTATGGGCAGGAATGAGCTCTCCTAGGGAAGAGCAGAGTGCAGGGGGAGCTGAGGGGAGAGCCGAGGACAGAGCTTGCAAGTTTATTGACTAAGGAGAGGAGGATGCGCCTGCAAAAGCAGCCCAGAAAGACAGCTGCGGAGAGAGGACAGCCACCAGAGTGTCTTGGGAGCCGGGGAAGGAGTGCTAGGTAAGGAGTGGGGAGCACAGAGTCTAGCGCAGCTGAGAAGACAGACGGTTCTATGAAGACAATCACCTCAGCCAGAGATGTTTCAGTCAAGTGATGGAGGCGGAAGCCATACCACAGTGGGCTGGGTGAGAGTGGGTCACCAGGGGGCACAACTCTTTCAAGAAGTTTGGGGGGAAGAAAGGAAGGCCTAGAGCATGAGCTGCAGGAGCTGAGGGATCCAGAAAGAAATGTGTGATGGTTTTTAACGGGACACAAGTTCAGCATGTTTAAAAATCCAATAGGAGGGATCTAGTTGAGGAGGCTAATGAACGAAAATGGGATCAAAACAGACCTAAGAGGTTTGGCTTTAGACCTTTAGGAGCAGGAAAGAAGATAAACAGATGCCGACCTAGGTCAGCCGGAAGATAAGAAATTGGGAGAGTACATCTGGGTGGCTGCGGTTTTCTCAGGGAATTAGGAGTAAAGAGAATCTATTGAGAGAGGGAGAGAGACAGAGGTAGGAAGCCTGGGGTTTGAGGAGAGTAAAGATGCTTTGAAATCCTTTCAAGTGAACCCAAAGTAAGCAGTGTTAAGGGCATACCTGGTAAGGGTTGGCAACCTCTCGAAATGTATAGAGGTACCAATTTGCCTTGGATTTTTCTCCCCAGGACTCAGCTGCTCAGGCAGATGCAGGGAGAGAGCTAGGTTCACCCAGGTGGCTGCTATGAAGGGTAGGGCAGGAGACGGAAAACGTAAAGAGTGGGTAGACTAGTTAAGGACCCAAAAGACTGAAGGACAGTCACGGTGGGAACACACTGGAGAGAGATGCTTCAATCATCGCTTTCGGAAAATGCTCTGTTCCAGCAGTAACGTCTAGTGGGCGCGGGGGGATGGGTGAGCTGCAGTGAAAGGGCCATGGTCGCACATGAGGAGGCTGAGGAACCAAAAGGCCAAGTAAGGTGCTGAGCATGTCTGTGGACAGTGGAGTCAGGATAATGGCAGGAGTGGCAGGACAGGGCTTTGATGAGCCTGGGGGAGACAGGGAGACACACACACACACACACACACACACACACACACACACACACACGTATAAGTCATGGCTTCTCAGCTTCTACTCTGAACACTGCTCTTTCAGACACTGATGGAGCTGAGTGGGAAGGCTTTTATTTGCTGTTATGCACCTGGCAAAGGCACTGCCCTTTTATTTATTTAAATTTCAAAAAGTTTATTTATTTATGTATTTAGTGAGAGAAAGCACACATGAGCCAGGAAGGAGCAGGCAGAGTGGCAGAGAATCCCAAGCAGGCACCGCGCTGCCAGCACAGAGCCCAATGTGGGGCTCGAACCCACAAACCATGAGATCATGTCCTGAGCCCAAACCAAGAGTTGGAGGCTCAACCCACTGAGCCATCCAGGCGCCCCAAGGCATGGACCTTTTAAATCATCGAGAGGGCAGGGCTGGGTCTTTTTCAGGACTTGATAGATGACTCACTTCATATTTGCTGGATGTATTAATAATGAATTCATTAAGAAGTAATAAGGAACCCTAACTGGCAGAGGAGAGTGAGGCAAAGTCGAGAATATTCTACTAACCTCACACACTAGATGGGCTGTACAAGTTGGAAGACAGAATCGAAACACAAGTCCCTACAATTAAGGAGGGCTGTGTCAGTCTGTTAAGGCTGCCATAACAAAATACCACAGGCTGGGGGGCTTAAACAATAAAAATTCATTTTCTCCATGGTTCTGGAGGCTGGAAGTCCAAGATCAAGTGATTAGCAGAGTTGGTTTCTTCTGAGGCCTTTTTCCTTGGCTTAGAGTTGGTGATGCTTTTGTTGCGTCCTTGCAGGGTCTTTACTGTATGCACATGCACCGTTATCTGTGGCCAAGCTTCCCTTTTTTTATAAGGACACCAGTCAGATTGGACTAGGGCCCACCCTAACGGCCTAGGCCTAATTTTAACCGAATCACCTCTTTCAAGGCCCTATCTCCAACAACAGTCACACTCTGAGGCATGGGGATTGGGCTCAGCCTTTGAATTTGGTGGGACACAATTCAGCCCATGGCAAGGGCTGGGTGTGAGACCCACTGGCTGTGCTCACCTTCTCTCTGGTCTGCCTACTCAGCTTTCTTGGGACTCTTGCTTAGCTGCTGTCTTCCTAGAGCCTGCAGTACACACACTGGCCCTGGTGACAAAGCAGAGTTTCCTGGAGGAAGCGCCCCACCCTGGAGGGAAGCTGCTTCCAACGGCAGGAAATGGGGATCCCCCTCCCCATCTCTCTTGGTCACCCATTTCTCCTTAGAGGAGAGCTTGACAACAGACTCTGAGAACCGCTCAGTGGTGCAGTGGGTGCTGGGGTTGGGGCAATCAGTGGAGGAGGGAAAGGGGAAATAAAGGCACTATTTATTTGTGTGCTGGCACATGGAGCATGTTTAGACTTCCAAAATCTGAATCAGATCAAGAACTCCCTATTCTAACTTTCTCATAGAGCAGAAATCAGCTTCTCAGCTCCCACACATTAGAGCTCCCACACTTCAGGTAGAGAGTCATTGACTTGCAAATACACAGTTCCATTTGTTCCTTCCTGCACAGCACTTTTCCAGATAGGATTCTGCTGATGCTGACAATGCGGCACTTGTAAACCTGAGCTTGGACCAGCGCGTCAACTTTGCTTAGCCAATACAACCTAGTAAAATCAGACGACACAAATGTCAGCATTTTAGGACTCATGCCCAAGAGTGGGTTCTTAACACTTTGTTAAGGAGCCCTTGGATGGGGGCCAAGAATGGTGTGGAAGAAGAGGAACAAACACTAAGTTCAGGTGAGTAACAGTTTGGAGAGGTAGGGCCAGGGCCAAATCTCAACCAAAGTGATACATGGAGCACTGATGATTCCTAAGAAACCATCTCCCTCCTCTGTGTGACTCAAAGTATAATAAAGCTCAGACTGATCCAATAATTAAGCTCCTGTCAGTGAAAGTCAGGGGTGGAACGAGAACCAAAACTAGGTTTTTAGGAATTTGGAGGTGCCCTAAATCTGCTTCCAAATGGCACCAGAAGAGACTGAGACATGACCACCAAACGCCGCATGTGGTACTGGCTGGGACCCTCTGCCAGAAAGGAAAAGGAGAGGTTGCTGGGACGATGGGCACAATGTGAACGGGGCCTGTGTATTGGTGGGCAGTGCTGTGCCGGTGTTGATTTCCTGGTGGGGAGGTTTGGAGGCTGGCAGTGCAGGACAGTGTTCTTGTGTTTGGGGGACACACACTGAGAATGTAAGGGTGAGAGAGCATCATGTCAGAAAAGACACGAGATGATAATGGAATATAAAATGTTAATAACTGAGAAATTTGGGTGAAGAGGACGTAGATCTTTGTTCTGTACGGCTCTTGAAATTTTCCCGTAGGTTTGAAACCATTTTAACATCAAAAAAAAAAAAAAAAAAAAAAGAAAAGAAAAAGAAAAAAGTACAAGTCTAAAAGCATTTTTTTATTTACAGTATAAAGGTTACAAAGGTATATATGTATTTATATATAATACCCTTAAGTTACAAATTTTCATTGTAATGTACAACGCTATATGTTGATATGCAACTCAAGGGGAAGTGTTGTCTATGCATTTATATTTATTGAGTACACATAAAGCTTTTATTTTATTATTAAGAACACAAATACTGCCCTGTTTTATGCCGTAAGTTTTGATTTGGTAGCCTGGTGATACCAGATGATTTGAGAACTCAATTTTAAACAACACTTAAAAAGAAGTCTTGTTTAAAAACGGCGTTCTAAAAAGAAAAACAGAATATCACATACTTTTAATGTTTTGTAGAAGCATTATTCTAGCTTTCTAAGCCTTAATACTTAACAAAAATGAAAGTTGTGTGGAACAAAATACACACAAGGGAGTATAATCAGAATTTGCACAGATTAGCCATAATAGGCCTTCATAGGTAGTGGTTTGCCACATTATCTTCTAGAAGATCTTGGGTCTAGTACCGAAAGGGAAATATCCTTTGGGCTCCAAGGTCTTATCATGCTGAAGACATCCAACAGATTGTAAACATAATACTGGAGACTTATGCTGGAGAAAAAAGTACAAAACTGAAACAATTTCTTGTAATAAGGGTAGATTTGCTATAGGTGTGAAGAATGTCACTGAGAATGATGATTGTGCCAAACCCAAACTTAGTGGAAATCATTTCCTCTCCCCCAAAATCTGGTAATTCGCAAAGCAGAGGTGAAAAACGTAACCGACACCCACTAGAACAGGACTAAGACAGAAGGCAAGCACTTCTTCCAGCCTAGGAGGGACAGACTCTTACACCACAATACTTAGGTGCTGGTTCTGATTCCACATAATCATTAGCACCCGATTGTCCAAGTGTAGGTTTAGAGTAAAGGCCATCACACTGAAGGCAAGCTGATAGAAGGGGACTGTTACTGTATGAAAATTATGAAAAATTTCAATTAACCTCTCATTTCCTTTAGGTGTCCTTTTTGTTGAGTTTGAATGCCAGGGTGTTCTAGAAGTGGAATTTTGCCAGGTTTAAGATATCTTCTATTGGACAAACACCATCTACCGCGTGTAAGGCCTCCCAGCAAATGAGACATTTAAAGGGGTAAGTGTGGAAATGAACGGGTCAGCACAATTTAGAAATAGGGGTAGATGAAATATACACTCAGCTTTGCTATTTATAGATAAAAGAAGCATTTCTTTAAAGTTTATTTTGAGAGAGACAGAAGCAGGCAGAGATGGGGAGAGACAATCCCAAGCAGGCTCCACACTGTCATTGCAGAGTGATGTGGGGCTTAAACTCATGAACTGTGAGATCACGACCTGAGCCCAGATCAAGAGTCGGATGCTTAACCAACTAAGCCATGCAGGTGCCCCAAGAAGCATTTCTTTAAAAAGACTTTCCTGTTGATCTACTTTGGGTAATAGAGCTTAATTTTTTGTTGTTGAGATTTATCTTCCTAGGGATATTCTATACTGTTCTTCCCAAACTAAAGTCTAATTTTTTAAAGATTTTAATTTTTAACTAATCTGTACACCCAACACAGAGCTCAAACTCACAACCCCGAGGAGATTCAGAGTAGCATGGTCCACTGACTGATCCAGTCAGGTGCCCCGCTAAAGTCTAATTTTGCATTAAAAAAATTAAGCATAATGAAGAGACTAACCTACTTAAATGTGCTTGGAGTTCTTTCACATTGGCCTGGACCAAATACCAAGCATCATTTTAAACATTTTCCAGTTAGCCAGAGTAGCTGAACTGCAGATGTACTTTGGTAAAAGTATGAAGTGGTTCAGTAATTAACCACTGATTGATAAACAGATGACATGGTGTAATTAAAAAATAATGGATTATTTGCTGCTTGCTCGCAGGAACTTTCTTTTAGACCCTGAAGAGCACATGTGAAGAGCTGTGCATTGATAAATGCTTAGTATATGAAATACATGAATTAATGTGTCATTAATTAGCCTTGCAGTTTCAGAATTTCCTTAGGCCCCCAAAGAACCTTTTTGTTTATGCATAAGAGACTTCTATCACTTTGGAAGAGGTGACAGAACATTCAGGTTCCAAAGGTATACGTATATGTGACTGGGATAAAGAGGGGCTCAAAAACTAAAACAAAGCATTTGTGTCAATGGCATGGAGCTAAGATTAGAACTGAGTAAGGTACTTAGAGGACTCAGAAGTTAGGAATCTACCGGAATCTACCAGGGTAGCTAATCTTACAATATAATAAAGTATCGCTTCTCTAGCATAGTTTTTTAGTTTCAACCAATCTATTCTGGAGCAATTCAAGAGTTACAATTCAGATGGCAGATTTTTGTTGAATACAATCAAATGTTCATTAGAGAGCAAGCAATCATTTGCAAACGGCATTATTTGTGAGTTACATCAAATGTAGATTCACTTTTAAAACTTAAATATGCTTTGGTTCAGTCACCTGAAGTGGGAAGAGTAAGAGGTGGCAAGAGATTATGTTCAAGTTTATCAGTTTGAAGCAAAAGAAGAAATCTTGTTAAAATATTTTGTTGAGTTAATACATAACAACCATTCTTCTAGCTGGTGGTTTAGTGTCAAAAAAAAGAACAGATGTACAGGTGTACTCTATGAGCCTAGTTCTGTTACCTTACTTTACTTAACTTGAAATTCTATCCTTTGATAGAATGAACTTGTAACATTGATCTGCCAGATGTATGTGTGTGTGTTAGAGAAGTTGTTTCAAATTTGCCACTAAGCAGTCTAATACTAGCATAAGTTTCAGTTATCAGTACACTATAAGAGTAGCTATATTGCTCAAAAACACATAATCCTGATATAAAACATAATTATTTTATAACTGTCTGCCATCACACATTTATTGTCTACACGTAACCCAGCACAGGGAAGGAAGGAGAGAGCTTTAAAAAAGGAGGAAGGGGGTGACGGCTGCTGTCAGTTTCAAAAGACAGTATGCAGAGAGTCAAAATAATTCTAGATTACCAAGCAATCTTAAGAGAGAGAACAGTAGCAAATGGCAGATTCTTCTGCTTTCATCTTCAGGAGATGGGGAAAAGCCACAATAACATTTTAAATTTATCTGCAAGAGATTTCCAAACTCAAGATAGATTATTATAGACCTGACAGAGATCTACATACAAAAAGAATTAATAGGATTATGGTCCTATTTAGACCATAGAAGTTTAGAGTTTAAGAAGAATCCCACATTTAAAGAAGTCTTTTTTCCTTAGGTATAGTTGTTTGATCTGACCAGAGCAAAGAGACCAAAGAGATCTGACATTTCACTTCTTCATTAGCAATTGAAAAAAGATGACCTTTGGCTTTTTAACCAGCCATTCTTTCCTGGCATCCGTGGTGGATGGCAGGGACAAGGAAATGTATGCTGGATATTTGGATAGTTTAAATATTATATACAATCAATAGCTTATAACCAGTGAAAATAAGAACAGTTCAGCGTAAGTGTCCAAGATACTAAACAGCAGAGAAAGTGCTTAAGTCTACAGGTCTTCCCTGAAAGTTTCAAAAATGTTTAAATAGGTAGGGCTTTTTTTTTTTTTTTAATGTTTTATTTATTTTTGAGAGAGAGAGACAGCGTGAGCAGGAGAGGGACAGAAAGAGATGGAGACACAGAATCTAAAGAGAGGCTCCAGGCTCTGAGCTGTCAGCACAGAGCCTGATGAGGGGCTTGAACCCACAAACCGCGAGATCATGACCTGAGCCGAAGTCGGACGCTTAACCGACTGAGCCACCCAGGTGCCCCAAGTAGGTAGGGCATTTAATAGAATTTGCATAGCAGCTTACAATATAATTTGCATTAAAAAATATGGAGAGTCTTCCATGTTTTTGAAAACATACAAATATATCCACATTCATATAAATTAATAAACAAGAAGACCTGGAGGTTTTCACAAAATTAAAAAAAAAAGTCCATGATAACCTTTTCTCAAAAGTGGTCACACTTTTGTCCATCAAAACCATTTACAGCGAAAACTTTTCCTGGGAGAAACATAATCTTGTCCAAATTCCACACAGTTTAATTTTATTTTTACGAATAAATTTTGGTTTATTAGCTAAGTGCATCTAATCAATTGAAAAAAGCTTGGTTACCATTCTGCCTAGGAAGATAAATTATTAGGAAAACAATCAGGGACAACTTTAATCATTTGTTGGTTGGAATAGATTGGTAGGTTAGATTAGATAAGAAATAAATAATTCAGTCTCTCCTACCATTCAATAATGTTCAATAACAAAGTTTGTGAGTTTATAGCTGATAAAAACAGGCACTATCAGACTTTACCTAGCCAAAAAGTGCTGAAACATGGCTTTAAGATAGGCGAATGACATAGAAAGTAGTATTTTTGATTGCCTGTACAGGTCCCCTTATGTAATCTGAACCTGTCTACTATACTAGGCAGGTGAGTTTGTAGTTAGAACTATCTAATAAATACTGTATGAACATACATTAAAGTACTTCTTCATATAAAATATTAGACAGTAATTTCCAGGTAAGGTTTGTTTGGTATCTTCAGGAAAGGACTTACCTTTTTCAGAAAAAGAAGGTCTGAACCTTTTCTTTTTCTTTCCTTTTCTTTCTTTTTTCGGAGAGGAAACAAAGAAATTTTAAGGAATGAGAAAGAAGCATTTTCACACGCCAGTTGCCTACTTGTAGGCATCTGTGTGGAATATGGAGAAGATGTCTAAGCCCCCGGTCTGGGGGGGGGGGTGCTGAGGGGCACAGGAAGCAATCCATTGGAACGAGGTACATACCACTCTGCAAGTTCCTTTCCATTCTATACAGGGAATCCCACAACATTCTCAACAATCTTCCTAATTCGAAATGAAAAAGAAATGAAAAGCTGTTCTATAAAAGATGTGAAATATCAAAAATGCCATTTTTTGTTATCATTTGAAAATAATTTGCCATATTTTGACATCTTAATACAAAATACATATTTATCAAGGCTGTCCGTTTCATAAAAGCACTTCATCTGTGGTTTGAAAGGTCCACACACACACTTAGTTGAAGAACAACCTGTCACTTGTGATTGGAAAGCTGTTGGTGTTATTAAACAAGCAGCTTAAAGGCTCTTGCTCTCGGGGATGCTAGTGGTCAAAGGAAATCTCCCACACGTTTTCATTGTACATTAAGACTCAAGATTTAAAAACCCTATGGACCTCGGTGCCACACATGACAGTTTAAGCTGGAACAAAATGAGTCAAAACAGCTCACATGCTTTCCCTTCTCCTGCCCACATTTTCATTACACCTTTTTAAGAGATCTTTTTCATATAAGTGATGAGCAAGGTGGCTCAGAAGTTCCCCCTGAAAATATCCTCAGTGCCTTAGCCTTTCACACTAATAAAGAAAACCTCCACCAAATGGCTTCACTGCAAAGTCTTTGACTGCATTGTGCAACGTTTCAGGTTAATAATGCTCTCACTGCAAAGTGTCCAAGCTCCTTTATCTGAGGGTATTATGTGTTGAAATTCTGCTTCCAAAAATCATAGCTGGACCCTCAAGATAATTTTTTCTTCCCTATTCGCAAATTTACTTCAGCTGGAACCAAATATAGGTTTATGAATCTTAAAAACATTTTTAAAAAAGCCCTTGAAACATATATTCTAGAGTAGATTTCAATTTCCAGTTGTAAGTGGACCACATCATTCATGCTGGAACTTCAGCTGGGGGTGAGGGGTGGGGAGAACAGTTCTCTGTCCTCAGCCTGTGCACATGGTTCATCTCACCGTACACAAGGGGAAGGACTGACTTACGGACGGAAGGAAAACAATGGGGCTACAATGTCTAACTCAAACTCTGTTCACGAGTCTGCTCTTTCAAATGTCCCACCTAGGTCAGTCTGCACTCACACCAAATAGCTCATGTTTTGCATATGATTGTGGGTTATTTTTTTTCCTCTCTATTTGGAGTGCTACCTTCCTCCATTCTCCAAAGTGCTCACACCCTCTGACGGCATTCCTCATAAATCTAGTGAGAGCTCGTCACAGACTTTCTCCAGAGAGCACAGAGAACATCCAAGCAATATTGACTTCTCTTTCCGATCTGGGCACTGTGGTAATCTTGACATTTTTGATAGCTCTTATATTATTTTGAATGTTTACAGATATATACCTCTTTTATAATTAGGAAAAACAAGCTGAATGTGATTCTCTAATACTACAGAATCAGCAATCTTACTGCTACTATGTCCTAATGATGATGTCTGGCAAAACTTAGTAAAACCCAGGTAGCTATTCCACGGTCTCGTCACCCTGCCCACTGTCGAATGCATTACTAAGCCAACAGTGAGTCTTGAATTAGCGGCTGCCTGTCCATGCCAATCTGCTGCCACAATGGGCCAGGGCCAGGGTCCTGCCTGGGCTCACAAAACTCAAAGCAACTCCACATGATGTTTGTGCTGAAGAGCTGCCTTTATAGAGTCTACTCTTTAAACAAGCAGGCTCTCCAGGATTTATCTTTCCCAATGAGATCTGCCCGAGAGAAAAGATACTATTCAGGAAATCCATCTTAAAGACTAGTCCTCAAAACTAGGATGGATGATCTCCCTGGAATGGCAGTGATATCCAGTTATTCATATCGTGACTAGTAAAGCCCCACTAACCCTAACCAAAGGCACATTTGGTAAGCAATAAAAAATGGCTTAGGCTAAAATGAGGACTTTCTTTGAAAATAAATCTTATCCCCTGGCTCCTACCAAAGATATATCAGAAAAATCTAAAACAAGTGAAACTCTTTTTTCAAATCAGTGGTTTCCAACTCGGTTACCACTAGAAAGGGAGTGGAAGGCAAGGCAAATAAAAATTTGCAAGTTCTAAGTCCTAAAGTTAGCACTTATGAGCGGAGAAGCTTGTGATGTGGTGGGAAGCGATGGCCGTGGTGGGATGCAGGAGAGCCAGGACATGTGAAGACGCTTTGGTGTGCAATTCCAGGACCTCCTAGGGTGGAAGGAATAAAGGACAGCAAGCTCCAGCAGAATGCATGGCCTGTCTGGAATGGCCAACAAGCACAGGCTGCTGCCAACCGGCACCTGGAAAGTGACGGTCAAACAAAGCAAGAGACTGAGGCTAAGCTTGAAACAAATCCTGTAGGAAGAAGAAAACGAAAACAACTCTTGGATACTTGATTATGTAAAAAAAAAAAAAACAAAAAAAAAAACAACAACCAGAAAACCCATAATGAGCCATCTTCTTAACAGAGGAAATAAACCTAGTTACTCAGAAACCACATTAGGAAACTACGCAGTCAATCAACAGCTTCATGTTGGAGCTTATTAGAGTCCTAGAATTTCTGGCCAAGGTAGCATGTGAAAGGCAGGCTCTTCTTTAAACATGGTTACTGTTCAGCAGTGATTTGCAGGTCCTTGTCAAGGCACTGTGCTGGAGGAGAGAGCAAAGAGTTTTCTTTTTGTGCTTTTTTTTTTTTTTTGAGGTGGAAATACTTCTTGTGATATTCAAGCCTCTTTTCTGATTTTTTGCTGCTCACACAAGCAGTCCCATACGAGTGACTTTGGCTGACAAGAACGTGTGCAACACAAATACAATTGGCTTCGGACAAGAGTGCAGGTCCATGGTCTGTGGAGAAAGTGCATCAATTAGCACTACCAAACACAGAAGCTTTATTTAAAAAAATTTTTTTAAGGTTAATTTTCAAAGAGAGTATGTGTCAGGGGAGGGGCAAAGAGAGGGAGAGAGAATCCCAAGCAGGGTCTGCACTGTCAACGCAGAGCCCGATAAGGGGCTCAATCCCACAAACTGTGAGATCAGGACCCGAGCAGAAACCAAGAGTTGGATGCTTAACTGACTGAGCCACGTAGGCACCCCTATACAGAAGCTTTAATAAACAGACACAAAAGAAAACAAATTTGGGTGTGATGTTCTACTTTTTGGAAAGAATTTGGATTAAGTATGTACCAGATTCATAGAAAGTTGTGGAACTTAAAGCCACAAATGAAAAGTATACTCTGAAGTAAGGTCATTCTTTGTAGTAATTCAGTACTGGTATGAGCTCCCACATCACAAATAGGATACGAATGGTGGTGTATTAGATTCCACCATGCCTGGTAGAAAGAACTAAAAAGTAGAAGATGTAAAAGACAGAGGAATATCCTATATGGAAACCATTTATTATGATTATAGGCCCCGGGGAAAATCAGTTAACAGCTGAGATGTGACTATGGATGGGTATGGTTTTTGACATCCCTCATAGGTTTGTAGTGGGAACGACAGCTCCCAAGGCTAGCTGGGAGGGCTACTTATACCTTCCTAAGCGCAAGTCTCTAATCTGGACGGCTGACACCAGATGAACAAGGAGACCTGGCATCAGGCTGCGTGAGACAAGTGATTCGTCAATCATTGGCACTAACACAGAGACCAGGGACTGGACCTAGTTAACTATGCCTTTTAAAGAAAAATAAAACCTGATTCAAAATATAAATTACAGAGCACTAATTTATCATCAAACTTTGTATATATTAAGTACGAAGCAGGAATTAAAACTATATAGCCAGGAATGATCCAACACCTGGCTTGCTAAATGACAACTGCTATTAATAACTGGTTAATTTAATAGAAGCATGTAACTCTCTCTAACGCTTCAGGCTTTTGAAAAGCCCTGGTCCATGGCCTAATCATAGTTTCCTAAAGGTTTATCACTTAAAGTAAGATTTCCAGACATAATTTCTTATTTGGAGGTTGAACTACATTATCTCTAAGATCTCTTTCAGTTATAAAATTTCATGATTCTGTTTTGCAAATTTCCACCTATGGTGACTGTTATCAACAGACATAATAGTTCATGTATAAGTCTTGAACTACTGGCTGAAAACTGATAAGAGAGAAAAAGCATTATTTTACTCCTTTATCTTATGATTTCTGAAGTATACTCAACACACTCTGTAGTTCAGTAAGGGAAATCATGAATTCCTGTTGATATATTTAATTTTATTTTTATTTATTTTTATTAAAAAAATTTTTTTAACATTTTCTTTTTTTTTTTTTAAACATTTTTTTTAATATTTTATTTATTTCTAGGAGAGAGAGAGAGAGAGACAGCGTGAGCAGGAGAGGGTCAGAGAGAGAAGGAGTCACAGACTCCGAAACAGGCTCCAGGCTCTGAGCTGACAGCACAGAGCCCGACGCGGGGCTCGAACCCATGAACCGCGAGATCATGACCTAAGCGAAAGTTGGACGCTTAACCGACTAAGCCACCCAGGCACCCCTTAACATTTTATTTATTTCTGAGAGAGAGAGAAGCAGCGTGAGCAGGGGAGGGTCAGAGAGAGAAAGAGACACAATCTGAAGCAGCCTCCAGGCTCTGAGCTAGCTGTCAGCACAGAGCCCGATTCGGGGCTTGAACTCACAAACCGTGAGGTCATGACCTGAGCTGAAGCTGGACGCTTAACCAACTGAGCCACCCAGGTGCCCCAATATATTTGATTTTAAAGACAAGGAGATCAAAAAAGAGGATTACTATATGGAGATACCTCTATCTTTTTTCTGATCGCCAAAATTTCTGTAGCGACCAAGTCACTCTGTTACTTTTAACTATTATCCCAACCAACTGCTAATAATAGCAATGAATAGAATTTATTTATTAAAGTTTACCAGCTTTTGTATTTCATTTCTCATATTCGATAAAAGCCTATTTCTTAAAAGGGCTGTTTTTTTTCTACCATTCAAACAAAACTTTTTTTTTAAGTTTATTTTGAGAGAGAGAGAGAGAGAGGGAGAAGGAGAGAAATAGAGAAAGAGAGTGAGTGAGGGGCGGAGAGAGAGGGAGTGAGAGAATCCCAAGCAGGCTCCATGCTGACAACGCTGAGCCCAGCACAGGGCTCAAACCCACAAACCATGAGATCATGACCTGAGTCGAAATCAAGAGTCAGATGCTAAAGTAACTGAGCCACCCAGGAACTCCCAAACAAAACTTTTTATAAAAGGAGTGATTTCCAGGTACCTGGGTGGCTCAGTTGGTTAAGCGTCTGACTTCGGATCAGGTCATGATCTGACAGTTTGTGGGTTTGAGCCCTGCATCGGGCTCTGTGCTGACAGCTCGAAGCCTGGAGCCTGCTTCAAATTCTGTATTTCCTTTCCCAGCGCGTGTGCGCGCGCGCACGCACACACACACACACACACACACACACTCTCTCTCTCTCTCTCTCTCTCTCAAAAATAAACAAACATTTAAAAAAAATTAAAAAGGGGCATCTGAGTGGCTCAGTCAGTTGAGCGTCTGACTTTAGCTCAGGTCATGATTTCATAGTCTGTGAGTTTGAGCCCTGTGTCAGGCTCTCTCCTGACAGCTCTCAGAGCCTAGAGACTGCTTTGGATTCTGTGTGTGTGTCTCTCTCTCTCTGTCCCTCCCCCTCCTCCACTTGCACTCTGTCTCTGTCTCAAAAATAAACATTAAAATAATAATAATAATTAAAAAAAAATTTAAAACAGGGAATGATTCCCGAATGTGGGGAAGAGAAAACATACACATATACATATATAAACCCCCAAACTCAACGCACACAAACCCCCCAAACCCAACATATCTTGAAGAATAATTTTCTGTTTCCAAATGGACTATCAGTCCATAATTTTCTATACAAAAGGTAAGAAGCAATGAGAAAGCAAAAGGATATCTATTAGAGTAAACATGGTTTTCAGCAACACTCTTACCAGTTCTCCCTCAGGGCCACCAAAATCCAGATAAAGATTTCTGATGCCATCATCAGCAGACATTTTCAGCCTTTCAAAGGGGTAGCGGTACAAAATGCTGCTGGAACCTCCATTTTCCTTGGAGATAGTGAACCCATTTTCATAGTGGACAGTGAGTCTTACCTCCTGGCCATTTAACGTGCAGCCTGTTGAAGACAAGCAAAGGTCAGCATTAATAAAGTTACTACTTCAGTTATCAAGTGGAAAAGAATTCTTCTGATTGGAAAAAAAGAAGAAAGAATCTTTTCTTGAGAATGTGCAATATCTAACCTACTTGGAACTCTCTCAAGTAAATTTTGTTTTGGTTGCTTGGATCAAAACTTGACTGAGAGGAGAAAGAGATTGCCATAACTCCCCATGGCATCTGATTTGATTCTGTTCAAATCGATGAGAGCATCGATTAAACACCTGTGCTGGAAGTGGGCCGTGTGTGGTACCGGGGAAGTAATAGGCATGGTCCCTGCTCTCAAGGACTTCATAAATGAATAGGCATAAACATGAAATCCCTAACTGCATTAGGTAGAACATACAGAACACAACTAATACTAGAGTCAATAAGGCCAAAGTCAAGGAAAGGTTTCCTAGAGGAGATGGCACTTCAGACAGGCCCTAAAGAATAGGTCAAACTGGATAGGCAGTGAAGTATGGGAGAGTTTCAAGTGAGCAAGAAGGAACAATCAAAGGAAGAAAAGGCAGAGATGCCTTTCAGGGGCAGTAACATGGCTTGGTTGGTATTTGGGAAGAGGATGAAGATAGTGTTTATCATCAAAGGCAAAGGCTATAGTTAGCAAAAGTCATACTGTTAGTCCTATTAAAGATAAAATTCAAAGTGTTGATCTGAATTCATAGGACAAAAAAAAAAACACTTTAATCATCAAGACTGGCAAATAAATGTCTTCTCTCAAGACTGGTAAAGTTTCTGTTCCACTAACACCTGGGCGCAGTTTTGTTATTATATTAGTACAGGGGCTGCCAGTGTGAGGCCCTCTGAGACCTGGGAATTAACATAGCAGTTTGTCAGTTCAAGTCCTGAGTCAGACTCTGCACTAACAGGGCACAGCCTGCTTGGGATTCTCTTTCTCCCTCTCTCTCTGCCCCTCCTCTGCTCTCTCTCTCTCTTTCTCTCTCAAAACAAATAAACTAAGAAAAATAATCTCTGGAAGTAGAACTTGGGCATCAGCATTATTTAAAAACTCTCCTGGGGGAGCTTGGGAGGCTCAGTGAGTTAAGCATCTGATTCTTGATTTTGGCTCGGATCATGATCTCCTGGGTTCTTGAGATCGGGCCCTACTTTGGGCTCGTGCTGACAGCATGGAACCTGCTTGAGATTCTCTCTCACCCTCTCTCTCTGCCCCATCCCATTTGTGCATGTTCTCTCTCTCTCAAAATAAATAAATATACTTAGAAAAACAAAAACAAAACACTCTCCAGGCTATTCCACTGTGCATAGATCTAGAGCATTAATAGTTTTTTCATTCAATTCCTGATGATTAGGCTAACCTTATTTAAATAAGTAAATATAAGACACTGGAATTGGGATGAGAAGGCCAATAATAATCCATTATTTTCAGTCCTAGACTTCACAGAAAATCCTCAAACTAAAATTTGAATGTTTCTTCCAGCTTCTCGGTTAATACCATATTGTAAAATTATTTATTTAAAAAAATTTATAGTTTATTTTTGAGACAGAGAGAGAGACAGAGCATGAGTGGGGGAGGGGCAGCAAGAGAGGGAGACACAGAATCTGAAACAGGCTCCAGGCTCTGAGCTGTCAGCACAGAACCTGACGCAGGGCTTGAACCCATGAATTATGAGATCATGACCTGAGCTGGAGTCGGACACTTAACTGACTGAGCCACCCAGGCGCCCCTGTAAAATTCTTTAAAGTGATGATTGTGGTGATGAGGTTAACTGATGGCTCCCTAGGTAAAAAAATAAAAATTACCATTTTTCTCGTTATGTGAGTATGATATAACTTTAAAAGTCAAACATAAAAGTAGCCTATGACTGCACTTGGAGTTAGATATGGAGTAAAAGCCAGGGATGTTAGGTATAAAAGGTGATGTCCTCCTCAATAGCTAGGATGTGGATGTACACACCCACCCATCCTCTCTTCTCACCCATCTGTCTGTCCCTCTGCCAGGGACAAGGCCAATCCCTCCATCTGTGCTTTGGATCCCATACATTCCCACCTTCTCAGAAACTGTCCAAGGCTGATTATTCCTTCTTCCTCTTGCATTTTCAACATTTCCCTTTAAACTCATCTCTCCCATCAACTTTTTTAAAAGTTCAGGTTTCTCTTATTATTGGAAGAAATACCATCACTTGACACCTTCCCTTCCTCTTTGTCTCTCTCTTTTTTAAAGATTTTCTTTTTAAGTAATCTCACACCCAATGTGGGGCTTGAACTCACAACTCCAAGATCAAGAGTTGCCTGATCCACAGACTGAGCCAACCAGGTGCCCCTATGTTCCTTTCTTACAGCTATTTGGTCAAAGGCATGAAGTAGGTCTTATTTTTATTTCTCTCATTAAGCACTTTGTAATTAATAAAACAGTAAATATTTGTTGATGTAATGAATTAAGAGAAACTGCTACTGTATATGTCCCTCAAGAGTTTAATCTGGGCATAAGAATGAGTCATTTAGAGGGGCGCCTGGGTGGCTTAGTCGGTTAAGCGTCCGACTTTCGCTTAGGTCATGATCTCGCAGTTCGTGGGTTCGAGCCCCGCGTCGGGCTCTGTGCTGACTGCCAGCTCAGAGCCTGGAGCCTGCTTCAGCCTGTGACTCCCTCTCTCTCTGACTCTCCCCTGCTCACGCTGTTTTTCTCTCTCTCCTAAAAATAAATAAAACATTAAAAAAATTAAAAAAAAAAAAAAAGAATGAGTCATTTAGAGGGGTAAATTCAGGAGCTTAAGGTACTGGTTTCGGAGTCAGAAAAGACCCCAGTTCTTCATCTTTTAAGTTTATTTTGAAAGAGAGAGCGTGTGCACAAGTAGGGAAGGGACAAAAAGAGAGGGAGACAGCAGGCTCCACACTGTCAGCACAGAGCCTGATGTGGGGCTCGAACCCACGAACTGTGAGATCATGACCTGAGCTGAAATCAAGAGTCAGATGCTTAACCACTTAATCACCTGAGCCACCCATGCACTCCTCCAGTTCCTTCATCTTAAAAATGGAGGTAAGAGAACTTGCCTTAGAAGGGTGTGTGTTAGGGTGACAGGAAACATGCATTCTACACATGACTTCTAACAACCCTGATAGGTACTCATTATTCTTTCTGCTTCTGTCCTTCCTACTTCAAAGGCAGGGGCTATGCTACCATATCTATTTTAGTATAGCCAGTAAAAGCAGAGTATACACTCAATCAATATTTACCCAGATGAATAAAAAGGGATTCAAGAAGATTTTACAAAACTGAGAACATGGTTAAAGTAAACTCTTTTGTCATATATCCTAACAATATAGAATGTTTGTTTGTTTATTTCTGAGAGAGAGAGACAGCATGAGCAGGGGAGGGTCAGAGAGAGAGGGAGTCACAGACTGAAACAGGCTCCAGGCTCTGAGCTGGCAGTCAGCACAGAGCCCGACACGGGGCTCGAACCCACGAACCGTGAGATCATGACCTGAGGCGAAGTCGGATGCTTAACTGACTGAGCCACCCAGGCGCCCCTCAATATAGATGCTTTAAAATGCTCATTTTTCTAGGGCACCTGGGTGGCTCAGTTGGGTGAGGGTCCGACTTTGGCTCAGGTCATGATTTCACAGTTCATGAGTCTGAGCCCCACATCAGGCTTTTTGCTGTCAGCATGGAGCCTGCTTCAGATCCTCTGTTCCCCTCTGTCTGTTCTCTCTGTCTGCTCTCTATTTAAAATAAATAAAACATTTTTAATGCTCATTTTTCTTCACCTCTTGCAGATTTTCTACATATTTGCTAATGCAACTCTTCCTATATCTGCTACTTCTTAGCAGTAGTTCTTATTTGATTTAAAAATTTTAATAGCTTAGGTAATTGGTATGATGAAATTAGCCTTTAAAAGAATACTTGTGAAAGTTCAAACACTTACACACATATATGTATTTTCATATTTTGAATTCCTGTGACAGATGGCAAATGATAAAGCTTTATGTACCCGAGGGAATTAACTGCGTGCTCTGCCTAGTGATCCTGAAGTTCACATTTGCTAGAAGGAAAAAATTCCTTGTGTATCAGGATTGCTGTAATCTACTGTAATCTAATAAAGGTTTAAAACTAAATGAACATTATGAAGTTCATGTATTGCATTCAGTAGTAAAATCTCGAAGGTAGTCCCTGCAATTTTTCTAAATGAGTAAACTATATAATAAATAAATAAATAAATAAATAAATAAATAAAACATAATGAAAACACATGGGACAAAGAAACAGAACTTTAATGATTTCTTCTTGTCAACTTCCTGACTTTTTTTAGGCCACAGATATCTGAATATATACAATGTGCCATAATTATAATTTTAAATAAACCTTTTTGAATCTCCCAACAATTTAACATAAAGGGGTAACGTGCATCTGAAGGACATGCTGGCTTATGTATGTGTGTGTGTATCTACGTGAACGTGGATGTGCTAGTAAGCATACACATATTAAGACATAACAGATTAGGTGTGTGCATGCACACACACATAAACACATGTGAAAGAATTCTGGCTCTGACCAAAGCAGTTTACCTTCAGTCAATTTAATATATCTGACAGAGCTCTAAATACAGAGTAAGTAATTAACAAGTACATCAGTTGACCTGAATTGTGGAAATGAAAGTATTACCAAGGTAATATTAAAATACAGTTGTGAATGAGAATAAAAAAGTTCAAGATTACCAAAAAATGTCTCTTTTGTCTATTTTAAATTCTAAGGACCCAACTAGTCCTTATTCTCTCTCTCCTTAAGTCACCTGTATTTAAACAACTGTGAGCCAGGGACTGGACAGATTTTTATTTCCTGCCAGAAGTTTAGCTGTCAGACACCAAACAACATGAAAGTAAAAAAATGTTAAAAATCCAAGTTGCATTCTTTGTTTTGGGAAACATATCTCTCTGGATCCTTGAAGAAGATATGGTGATCCCAGATGCCAGTCAGGGGCCTAACGAGTGTTCCTGGGCTCCCCAAAGGAACACAAGGCATTGTAGACCTTCACACTGAGGACACAACCCAGAAAGCACATTCTGTGCCCACGACAAAAACAAGAGCCCTACAACCCTTAATGTGGTGACCAACCACTCCAGAGAGAAAATGGGCAGGAGAAAGACAAGTGAGAAAGTGTAGATATGGTAGCTTTGGTCAAAATCCAAGGTGGGGTCTTACTAGTCGTTGCTTGAATCATCATTGTGGTTGTGAGGAAAATATTGAGCAGGTCCTAAATAGTTGAAAAATTAGGTCATTTTGATCACACTTAAAAAACTGTCCCTGTGCCAGTGTTAGAAGATGACCCACAGAAATGCTGCCTATGCAATTCTAAAGCTATGGAGATCCCTCACTTTCCAAAAGCAAAGGAAAGAAAGATAAATATCACAAGACATTCTGCTCTTTAAATATTTTCTCTTTCTATAAAATTCTATAAAGCTATGTTTATAAAATAAAATACACAGAAAAGAGGAACAAACTCAAGTAAACTGACTTTGCAATCAAGATAATCAAAGTAATTCAAACCCTATTAGAAATCCCATGTCTTCATTTTGACTATTCTTTGTTCTTGTTAAAATGGAAAGCAATCTGGAAATATCTATATCTATATCTATATGTACATACACACAAATAAAAACAAATAAATCATGAGGGTGCCTGGGTGGCTCAGGCAGTCAAGTATTCAACTTTGGCTTAGGTCATGATCTCAGGTTCATAAATTTGATCCCCGCATTGGGGTCTCTGCTATCACTGCAGAACCCGCTTTGGATCCTCTGTCTTCCTCTCTATGCCCCTCTCCCGCTTTCTCTCTTTCTCTCTCAAAAATAAACATAAAAAAAGAAACCATAGAGACTAGCCACAAGAGGGCGTTTCAACAATGTAAAGTCACCACCAGGCTTCTTTCCTTTAGAAGCTTATTTCAGTAAGTACTGGGCACACATTTTCAAACTTTCAAAGACAAAATCCTACTCAAAATTCCTCGTTTTTTCTACAGCCATAAGCCTCGCCAGATGCTTATATTTTAAGGGTGTGTATCCATATCTTAGACTCCAAATCTTCTGAAATAGAGGGTTAGTGCATCCGGTACTTTGTAAATGAGTCTTTATACTATCACGTACAGTTAATATGAGGAACAGCAAAACTGCTGTGTTGTACATAGGGTGTTAGGAAAAGTTTACTACTGAAACAGAAAAGCCAGGTTTCTTTCTATCACGATAATTTTAAGTTGCCATATTTTAGAATATTTTTAAGTCTGGGACCTATGTTAATAGTTTTTACTTTAAAATGAAGTATAACAGTTCCATTTAACTACTGCAAGAAGTGATATGTCAAGATCTATACCTAGAGAGACTTCCTTAATTAGTTCAGCAGCAGCATGACAACCCTGAACAAGTATCCGGGTCCAGGTTGACAGATCCCGATGTGTCTCCACCCTGAAGAGATGCATCTCAATGCCCTGCCGTGAGCCCGTCCTAGTAGCAAATGTAAGGTCAGATCCAAGTGAGGGTGATCGACATCCGGAGCCAGAATGAACCAACCTAGGACCACAAAAAGGGCAAAGATTAAAAAGTAATTAATGCATTGTTACAGGAAAATGTCAGCAATCTATCCTGAAAGATGAGCAAAAAATTATAAAAGCCATCAGCAGTTTTGGAAAAGTACATTTCAAAACAATACTCGTCTTTGAAGTATGTATCATTCTGTTTTCCCACAAAATGACCCCGAGTGTCACAGGCAGAACACTGGGCTGGATGGGCTAGGGACCAATTTTCCACTGGCTTTTTTATGCTCTCAAAAGCCTATACATATAAAAAGAATGGATTCTGTTCTGATTAGGAAGTGTTAGGCCCCCAGACTTGCACAGCCTCCCCTATTACCATCACTCACTCGATGGTAATTTTTTTTTAAACCAAGAATGAACCTATACTAACGCATCATAATTATCCAAAGTCCACAGTTTACATTCAGGGTGACTTTTTGATGTTGTACATTCTATAGGTTTGTACAAATGTGTAATGACATATATCCATCATTATAATATGTGGAGTATCTTCAATGCCCTAAAAGTCCTCTCTGCTATGCCTATTCATCCACCCCTCTTCCTTGCAAGCACTTATCTGTATATCTTTTACCTTTTCTTCTTAACTTAATTGTATTAGCAAGGATTGCTGGTATAATGTTGAAAAGGAGTGGGAAGAGGGGACAGGACATCCTTGCCTTGTTCCTGATCTTAGTGGGAAAACTTCCTTTTTCTTACCATTAAGTGTGATCTTAGCAATAGACTTTTTGTAGATAGTCTTATCAAGTTGAGAATATTCCCCTCTATTCCTAGTTTACTTTGTTTACCATGAGTGGGTGTTGGATGTTGTCAAATGCCTTTTTTGCATCACTTGATAGATTCATATGATTTTTCTTGTTTAGCTTTTTATATGATGGATGACATCAACTGATTTTCAAATAATGAATCAGCCTTGCATACGTGGGATAAATCCCACTTGGTCATGGTGTGTAATTCTTTTTATACTTTTTGGAAGTCAATTTGCTAATAATTTGTTGAAGATTTTTGCATTTATGTTCATGAGAGATACTGGTCTACAGTTTTCTTATAATGTCTTTGTCTGGTGTTGGTATTAGAGAAATGTGAGCCTCACAGAATGGGTTAGGAAGTACCCCTCTGCTTCTATACTCTGAAAGGGATTGTAGGGAATTTCTTTCTTTCTTTTAATTTTTTTCAATGTTTATTTATTTGGGGGGAGAGCGTAAGTGGGGGAGGGGCAGGGAGAGAGGGACAAAGGATCTGAAGCAGGCTCTGCGCTGACAGGTTGATAGCAGTGAGCCTGATGTGGAGCTCGAACTCCCAAACTGCAAGATCATGACCTGAGCTGAAGTCAGACACTCAACTGATTGAGACACCCAGGAGCCTCAGAATTTCTTTCTTAAATGTTTGATAGAATTCACCAATGAACCCATGTAGGCCTGGTGCTTTCTGTTTTGGAAGACCTTACACTTTTCACAAATATTAATTAAAAATGGATCTTAGATGTAAATGTGAAATGCAAAAGCATAAAACTTCCAGAAGACATCGTAAGAGAAAATCTAGGTGATCTAAAAAGATATGACACCAGGGACACCTGGGTGGCTCAGTCGTTGAGTGACGGACTTCAGCTCTCAGGTCATGATCTCAGGGTTCATGAGTCTGAGCCCCACACTGGGCTCTGTGCTGACAGCTCAGAGCCTGGAGCCTGCTTCAGATTCTGTGTCTGCCCCTCCCCCACTGGTGTGCACATTCATGTGCACAGTGCACACGCGGTTTCTCTCTCAAACATGAATAATCATTAAATTTTTTTTTAAAAGACACAACACCAAAAGCATGATCCATGAAAGAAAAATATGCTTTTTTAATTTAAAATTTTTTTTATTTTTTTAGAAAAAAAGTGTTAAGTTTAACTTCATAAAAACTACTGCTTTTTGAAAGATACTGTTAAAAGGATGAAAAGACAAGCTAAGAGTAGGAAAAAATATATGAAAAGTACATATCTGATAAAGGACTGATATCCACAACAAAGAACTTTTAAATTTCAACAATAAGAAAACAAAAACCCCAGTTAAAAAATGAGCAAAAGATTCACTTCTTAGTATATATCCAAAAGAAGTGAAAGCAGATTCCTGAGATCATTTATATCTATGTTCATTGCAACATTATCCACAATAGCCAAGAAGTGGAAGAAACTTGAATATCTACCAACAGATGAATGACTAAAGAAAAATGTAGCATTTACATACAATAGATTATTATTCAGCCTTAAGAAGGAAATCCTATCATATACTACAACACGAACAAGCCTTTTAGAAATTATACTAAGTGAAATAAGCGAGTCACAAAAAGTCAAATTCCACCTGACTCTACTTACATTTGGTATCTAAAGTGGTACAACTCTTAGAAACAGAATGTAGAATGATGAGTTGAAGCCAATAAGTCATATCAGCTACTGTGCATCTCAGGGTTTCAACAAAATGATTGCAGGAACACTACTTCATCTAACTCCTGGTTAACTGGAGCAGGGACCATTATTTCTGGTAAATGTTGTGTCTGGGGACTTCGCAACTCCAGTCTGTTCTGAGAGCATATATTTTTAGGCCATGCACATTATGATAAGAATGAGACATAATTAATTTCTGTCTCTGAAGTAAACAGCCAGTGAAAACTAATTTTCTAAATTTTGGAGCTAATTGGCTATAACTCTTGACCCTGATTCACTTGAAATGTGATACTGGTTCTTTTATATTAAAAAAACAAAAAATTATGTGCCATCTTTTTACTTTTTTTTTTGCTTGATTTTATTTTTATTATTTTTTTTAAATGTTTACTTATTTACTTTTGAAAGAGAGAGAGAGAGAGCACAAGCAAGGGAGGGAAGGAGACAGAGAGGGAGATACATAATCTGAAGAAGGTTCCAGGCTCTGAGCTATTAGCACAGAGCCTGATGTGAGGCTTGAACCCATGAACCATGAGATCATGACCCGAGCTGAAGTTGGACACTTAACTGATTGAGCCACCCAGGCATCCTTTTATTGTTTGTTTTTAATGTTTATTTATTTTTAAGAGAGAGAATGCGTGAGCAGGGAAGGGGCAGAGAGAGGGGAGACAGAGGATCCGAAGTAGGCTCTGTACTGATAACAATGTGGGGCTTGAACTCAACAACCACAAGATCATGACCTGAGCTGAAGTTGGATGCTTAACTGACTGAGGAACCTAGCAGCCCCCATTTTTTTTTTGCTTTAAAAAGTCAGTTCAAACTCATTTATGGGAGGCTAGGTAGTGATGCTCTTGAAATACTTTTAGATGTAACAAAATGAAAGATTGAACTAATGTTTTGGGGAGAAGGTTCAAATCAAGTATGAGACAGCAATGAAACAAAGTACAGAAGAGAAAATACTGAGAAACAATTAGCAAAAACCTTAGGGTTTCTATCATACACTGTATATACTCTGCCCCATGAGATTTTTTTTTTTTTTAATGTTTATTTTTGAGAGAAAGAGTGCAAGCGGGGAGGAGCAGAGAGAGAGGGAGACACAGAATCCAAAGCAAGCCCCAGGCTCTGAGCTGTCAGCACAGGGCCCGACGCGGGGCTCAAACCCACAAATGGTGAGATCCTGACCTGAGCTGAAGTCAGACTCTCAACCAACTGAGCCACCCAGGCACCCCCAATGAGATTTCTTAAGAACAGAGTTTCAAGGACAAAGAAATATAACATTCATGAACTAAAAACTATTTTTATATACAAGGGAAAGAGCAGAATATGGTCTAAGAAACTACTGAGTGTTAACAAAATATATTTTAAAAATCCCTTCAACCAACAGTGAGAAACTTCCCACAAAGAAAATCTGAAGCCCAGCTGGCATTGCTGGTGAATTCTACCAAACATTAAAAAAAATTAAGGCCAATTCTTTAAAAGCTCTTAAAAAAAAAAAAAAAAAGAGGAAGGAACACCTCCCAACTCATTCTATGAAGTCAGTGATACTCCCCATACCACACAAAAATCCTCATTAAAATACTAGCAAATTCGGGGTGCCTGGGTGGCTTAGTCGGTTAAGTGTCCGACTTTCGCTTAGGTCATGATCTCTCGGTTCGTGGGTTCGAGCCCCGCGTCGGGCTCTGAGCTGACTGCCAGCTCAGAGCCTGGAGCCTATTTCAGAGTCTGTATCTCCCTCTCTCTCTGACCCTCCCCTGCTCACGCTGTCTTCCTCTCTCCTAGAAATAAAAAAAATAAAATATTAAAAATAAAATAAAAAAAATAAAATACTAGCAAATTCAATCTAGCATGACCAAATAAGATCTATCCTAGAGGTGCAAGGTTGGTTTAACACCTGAAAATCAATATGGTAAAATATAGACATGGAAAAAGCATTTGACAAATCCCAAGCCTTTCCATGAAGAAAATACCCCCAAAACATGGAAGAGAAGAGAAGTTCTTCAACCTGATAAAGGGCATCTATGAAAAACCCATAGCTAACATCATACTTAATGGTAAAAGACTGAATGCTTTCCCATTAAGATTGGGAATCTAGACAAAGATGTCTGTTTTTGTCACTTCTATCCAACATTTACTGGATATTTTAGCCAGAGCAACGAGGCAAGGAAATGAAATAAAAGTCACCAAGAATAGAAAGAAAGTAGTCCAACTACCTCTTATTTGAAGATGATATAATATTATACATAGAAAGTCCTAAGGAATCCACTAAAACTCTATTAAACTAATAAACAAGTTGAACAAGAATGTAGATCAAGATATAAAAATTAATGTCTTGATTATATACACTACCAGCAAACAATCTAAATAGGAAATTAAGAAAACAATCCAGGTGCCTGGGTGGCTCCGTCGATTAAGTGTCCGACTCTTGGTTTCGGCTCAGGTCATGATCTCGCAGTTTGTGAGTTGGAGCCCCACACTGGGCTCCATGCCAGTGTGGAGCCTGCTTGGGATTCTCTCTCTCCCTCTCTCTGCCCTTCCCCTGCCAAGTCCACTGATTTTCAAAG